AGGAGTCCTCCGACAACACCGCAGCTGTTGATTAGACCCAGCCGCTCCAGATGTTGCCTTTTTTTTTTTTTTTTTTTTTTTTGGCTTATGTTTTTTTTTTTTTTTTTTTTTTTTTTTTTGTACTTGTGTTAAAAATTTCTGCATTTTATGGGAGGGAGGTAGAGTAGCTTTACCTTCTCGTTCTGAAGGCATTGATCTGCTGTGTGTGCAGGTGAGGTCTGCATTGCCAGCAACGACGATACTCGTGTGTACCGCAATTCAGAATGCCGAATTTTTGAGTCCTATGCAAGCTCAGTTGATGGTGAAGAAACTGCTCCGGAGAACCCAGTGAAAAAAAAAAAAAAAAAAAAGGAGGCGCAGCTCGTCAAATCCTTTGTCGAGTGCCGATTTTTGTAGAACGCAGTGAAAAAAAAAAAAAAAAAAAAAAAAAAAAAAAAAAAGGAGGCGCAACATAGTATGACCAGGAAAGGAGGAGAGATGGCGGAAGAGGAAGAGGGAGGAGTAAGGGAAGGAGCAAAGACAATGTATGGCTCAACAGGAAGAAGGAGGAGATGTAGGAGAGCATGATATTGGGAAAAGATCCGGGAGCAGCGAACCAACTTGAAGTGACAAAATACATACAGATGCAGACGAGGAAGAAGATCTGGGTGGCGCAGCCGTACATGTGACGAGTGAAGGTAAGGATAGAGGTAGGAGTAGGATAGAGGCTTCTCGTAATTTCCCAGGTGAGATAGAAATCGTGACCCCTTAGGTGGATAGCGGGATTACTATTTAAAGGAGCAATGACAGGGAGATGTCATCTTGGAATCCATGACCCGCTAGTCCTTGTAGTCCAGCCCGCTGAAGAGCCTATTGCAGTACGACGACAACGAAACGCGTCAGGGCAGTGCGTACTAAGGAGGAGATATATCTGTAATGGATGTTGAAGAGCGAGCATATGGATTGCTGGGAAATCGTGGGGTTGACTCTCGTTCTCAGTCTCACTATGCTCTCTCTCTATCTTTATATGTGATGACGGGATTCGAGTGTGCATGAGTGATCTTTCTCCTTCGC